GGCGCCCACTGCCCTGCTTTTCTTTTTCTTGTGTTTTTTTCTGGATCTTTCTTAGTCTTCTTTGTCTTTTGGTGTCTGTGGGCCCGAGTGTGTGGGTGTGTGCACGGGTGCGCGTGCGTGTAAATATTTCCTACTCCCTCGGTCTGCTTTCTCTTCCCTCTGCCTCAGGGCAGGGTGCCATTCGCCGTGCCCGACAAAGTGCTGTGGCCGCAGCTGTGTGAGGCGCTCAACATGAAATTCAAGGCCGAAGTGCAGAGCAACCGCGGCCTGACCAAGGAGAACCTCGTGTTCCTGGCCCAGAAACTGTTCAATGGCAGCAGCAGCCACCTTGAAGACTATAATGGCATGTCCGTGTCCTGGTCCCAGTTCAACAGGGTGAGGGACCCGCCGCCAGCTGCCTGCCCGGGGCCACCTGTGCCCCGCCAAGGCTTTCCCCACCTCACAGACACGTTCCTGGCCTCGTTCAGCAGCCCCCCTCTCCAGCCCGACCTGCCCTCTCCTACAACCAGGAGAGACGGGGGCTAATACACCAGGGAACGGAGGCAGGGGTAGCAGGAAACTGCACGGAGCTCTGTGAGCCGGAGCAGGACAGTGGAAGGAACCCGGGGCTGGGAGTCTGGATCCTTGAGTTCCTGCCCTAGGTCGGTTAACTAAGTGGCCAGGCCCTTCCTTGCCTCAGTTTCCCCTTCTGTCCATTGGGGGCAGAAATGACTTTGGAGATCTCAGCTTGCACAATTCTGGACACCTCCTACCCCTGCCCCTGTGCCTGAGAGGCAAGAGGCGGGTTTAGTCTCTCATCCCCAGGCTGCAGGTTGGGGGCTGTGTCCATTTATGGCCCACTGGAGTGCAGGGCGAGTCGGGTGAGGGATTGGGAGAGGGTTTCCCTGAGGACAAGATGGCACAGACTGTTCCCTGGGCCACCTGTGATGACGGGGCGACAAACCCTGACTTGGGGTTTCCTGGGGACTCTCAGGAGAACTTGCCAGGCTGGAACTACACCTTCTGGCAGTGGTTTGATGGGGTCATGGAGGTGCTGAAGAAGCATCACAAGCCCCATTGGAATGACGGGTGAGGAATGGGGGGCCCCGGGAGTGGGAGGCCATGGGCTCAGGGGACAGGTGATGCTGGACTGGTAATGACACTCTATGCTCCATGCACCCAGGGCCATCCTAGGTTTTGTGAACAAGCAACAGGCCCATGACCTGCTCATCAACAAGCCCGATGGGACCTTTTTATTACGCTTTAGCGACTCCGAAATCGGGGGCATCACCATTGCCTGGAAGTTTGACTCTCGTGAGTGCCCTGGCTCCCATTTCCTTGCTCCCCATTCCCCATCAGGTCTGCATCCTTAGATGGTTTCCCCAGGGAAAAGACTGGAACTGAACTCAAAAGTAGGGGAAGACTGTTGCTCAGAAATACATTCCCTTTCTACCATTTTCCATCATGGAGAACTTAAGATCACTGGCCCTGTGGCCTCCAGAGCCACTGGGGGACTCCTTCAGCGGTTCTGAGTTCTCCCTTCTCTGCCCTGACCTAGTGTTGCTGGCGTCTACTTGCTTGGTTCGCTGGGTAGAATGTTCCCATGGTCACTTGCTCCCCCTGTGCCAAGGAGTTCCAGACAAGGCGGAGGGTTGCAGAGCAGGCTAGTAAAAACTCAGATGTCTCCACATACCAGATCTCAAACCCCATGACCCTAACCCTTCTCCCGAGGGTGGTGGGTGGTGGGAATGATCTCGTCCTTTTCACAGCTGACCGCAACCTGTGGAACCTGAAGCCATTCACCACGCGGGACTTCTCCATCCGGTCGCTGGCTGACCGACTAGGGGACCTGAGCTATCTCATCTACGTATTTCCCGACCGGCCCAAGGACGAGGTCTTCTCCAAGTACTACACCCCTGTGCTCGGTGCGTCCTGCTCTGATACTCCTGGGCCCTTCCGCAGCCTGTGGGCAAAGCTCTTGGGGCAAGGCAGCGGGGACTCCCCATGAAGAGCCCTGGGGCCATGTCCCCCATGGGCTTGGTCAGAGGCTTGGTGTGGAGCCCATAGAGGGGATTTCAGGGCTCACAACCGAGAGGGAAAACAAAGCCTCTGACCCAGCTTTCTTCTCGCGGCAAAGTGGAAAGCTGGGTGGATTCTCACTTCTGCACCCTTGGGGGACAAAGAGGCAGAGCTGGCCAGGATAATGATACCCACAGACGATGCACTACTCCCATCTTAATTAGCTGCTCTTATGGCTCCCACCCTCAAACCTGCCCCCAAGTTGAATATGGGAAGCAAAATGGACAGGTTTTTCCTCTTCAACTTGTCCCCAGTCCACTGTTGGGTTTGCTGCTTGGCATTGGTTCTGCTTCCTTGGCAGGGGTGGGGTGATGAGAGAGCGAGCAAAGGGCCAGAAAAGAAAGGAGGAGGAAGGAGGAGATGGGAGTGAGGGGTCTGGGTGGCCCCTTGGGCGGGGTCCACGGGCAGGTGTTTATAGGAGTCTGGGGAAATCTCATCACCGCTGAGGCCTCACAGTGATGTGGGTAGGAGGCAGACTGCATGCCGTGGGCTTCCACTACCTGGGAGCTCCTGGAGGCTGGTTCTCATCACGCTCCCCCCTCGGCAGCTAAAGCGGTGGATGGGTACGTGAAGCCACAGATCAAGCAAGTGGTCCCTGAGTAAGTACCCAGGGTCTGGCTCTGGTCTCCTGCTGCCTCCTTTCTCTCTCCCCCAGCCCCCCTCACCCTCAGCCCTGCTCCACCCACTCACCAGCCCTGTGTGGCCCAGCCCTTCCTTCCCCCCTAAAACCTGGCTTAGCCCTGGAGAGGGAACTGGGCTTAGTCTCAGTGGGACCAGGACCCAGGGCCCCACTCCCGCAGCTGGAGTCCCAGGCCCAGTGGGCACTTTGCCCTTCCACGCCCCCCAAAAAGGTGTAAAAAGGCCCCCCACCCAAACCCTCCCCAGGTCAGCTGCTGCCCGGAGGCCGCTGAGGCTCTGCCGTGTTTCTTCTGCAGGTTTGTGAATGCATCTGCAGACTCTGCCGGGGCCAGCGCCACCTACATGGACCAGGCCCCCTCCCCAGCCGTGTGCCCCCCCGGCTCATTATAACATGTACCCCCAGAAGTAGGTTGTGTTCTGATGGGGCT